TGCATGTACTACTGGTACTTAGGTGACATTTCACAAATCAAGCTATACGTATAGAAGAGAGACACCCCTTGTTTCCATTGGAGAAATGTAATTTTTAGAGAAACATTATTAACTGAAAGAGTAAGCTTTCAGCTGCTTTTATGACTTAGACTCAGTAAGGGATAAAGACAGGGCATTTATCCCATGAGTGAACATCCTGAAGCAGTTATATGTGGCTGGCTTACAGGAGATCTAAGAATCTTTGTTTGACAGTCTGGCTACCTTCCAAATGAGAAATCAATGACTCTGTACTGTGGGTAAAGAAAAGCCAGGATGGTTTATGACTTGTTCTGCATATACTGTGGATGCAGCCAAGCTCTGAATTACACAGAGTTGAAGATGGCAAGACAGCAACATTCCATGTCCAATAATGCCTTCAGCAGCATAAGATACATTCTGGAAGGACTCTGCACAAACAGTGGCTTCCTAGATTTTGGAATTCAGCCTGCGGAATGACAAATATATGTAGCAGGAAAAAAAAAAAGGAAGGAAATAATAGGGGTTTTGTGTGGCTGGGTAGCCAGCTAATTAGATGCAGGCTGGTTTTGTTTGGGGCAAGGGGCTTGCAGAAAACATGCAATGGCTAGAAGGTAATCTTACGTGTAGGACTAGCACATATCTTCATAAAACCTGTTGTATTCTGAACAATCTAAAATGTGATTTAGATATGAAAAGGAATGCCTACATACTTAGTTATTAATAACAAAATAAAAATAATGGTATTCAAGTGTAGATGCTTTACATTATTTGGGATATCACTGTTACATTACACAGGAGCAAAAAAAAAGAGCCACACTATCTGAGGAATTAACGAGGTTCAAACACAGCATTTCTCTTTTCTTTCAAAAAATAAAAATAAAAACGATTAACCAACGTGTTAAATTATAACTTCAATCAGCTGGACGTAGGACTTAGTTGTATTTTCTCAGCATTTTTCATGTTGTTTATAGCAAAATGAAATAAATTACTTTTCTCTATTATAGGCCCATAAGAAAGATATATTTAAAAAAAAAAAAAAAAAAAAAAAAAAGTAGAACAAGCTTACATTCTTTAGATTATTCTATCTGCTCATATATTTGTATATTCAGGAAGTACTTTTAACTTTCTTGGTGGGCTGATAGCCTTTGAAAACTTCTATCCTTATTTTATAATGCTTTTGGTGAACTCAAACCAGTGTACTGAACCAAACTATCCTTTACTCAGCTCCATATACCTGTGAGCAAATAACAGCCTGTAGGGATTCAGCACATCAGCTGCTTAAAAGATAAACCTACCCAGCTTGATGAAAACTCTTCACCAGCTTCCTGTTGAGAGAAAACAGTTACACATTTCTAATAAATGAAGCAGGAACTGTCATTTTTTTGGCAAACTGATAACTAGCTGTAACAGCCGCAATGCCACAAGTTGCTTTTCCAAAGTAATTACCATCAGGCTCCCTGTGGTATCCAGTGTTTAACACATTTTTTTCTGTGTTAATGAATGCAAAAGCAGGAAACACAACTATTAGTAATTACTTTTTATTCGTAGTCCTCATTTTCCAGATAGGTCACATTAAACACAGCCATTGAACAATAGCGGTTGAAATAATTAATACAATGTATGCTGCTTTTGTTTGTGGATTTTTTTGTTTGTTTGCTTTTACTTGTTTGTTTGTTTGCTTGTTTCTGTTTGTTTTATTTTTAGTGTGTATGTGTCATTCACTAGTCATTGGTGCAACTTTGAGCCATATGGGGAGACAGGGACTGATAGATGCAAATGCCAACCTGTAGCACTACTGGGCCAGAGAAGTCAAAATCTTAATCAAGTTTCACTCAGCTACACTTCAGTAAATCTTGATAGCCAAAAACTCCCACTTCAATTAATGGAACAATAATCACCACCTAATCTCAAAATAAAGTAATTAAATAATAATGAATGGGTGCACATTATGCTTGGTTTCAGACTCCTTTTTGACCTAAGCAATTTCCCTTTCCTTAGGCAACAAGGAGTTGGAAGTTGTTTGAATGATGTACCCTGCTCCATGTGAACAATTTTTGACTTCTGGATATTGCTTGGACTTCAAAGCCTAATACCTCAAGTGGCAAATCATAGTTAAGAAGACTCTCTTTCCTGATAAGTATGCCAGGAAAGAAGAGGAGGAAAGAAAAGATCTGATTTAGAGTCCTGATTTGACTGACCAGTCTTTTAAGGAACTTTCAGTTGTTCGATTTCATTAATCTACAAAATAAAAATAATAAACAAAATAAAACAGAATGCCTTATGTTCTATTCACAGTGTACAGTACAGTTTTATTAGTTTTTTAACTTGCTTTCCCTTAGCTCAATCATTCTCTCTATAGTCATGTGACAGATATTTTATTTCAGCTTTATAAGACATATACATAAGGAATGAGAGAAAAAAATCAACTTCATCTTCCATTGCTGTCTCTTTCTACAGTGGTGATTGCAAAGATACCAAAGAGAGAAAAAATAATCTAATTCTTTTGTTTGTGGTACTTCGTATGACACTTCCTTCACACATAATCATATTCATTTTGACTCAAACAGCAAAACTCACATTGTATATGCTCTGCTTGTTTGTTGATACATTATGCATCAATTCTAAATTATGAAACAGATTTTTTAACCAGGGATATGCTTACTGGAAGCAGTATGCTAAAAATCTACAACACAAGGCAGTTGTCGGCCAAATTAAATAAAAGTAAGATTTCCTAAACTCTCCCATGAAGCTGTGAGTCATGAATTCTGAATTACCTCAGTGGTAAATAAATAATCACTACTAAATACAGATAATGTGTTAAACAACTAAAGCTAGTAAATCACTAGTGACAGAGAGCCTTAAGGTAAATTCCTCTTACATTGGCACAGCCCTTTCTCAGAATATTGTGGTTTTATGTCTTCAGACATATACAATGAATTGTACAATCGGTTACTCAGTGTTAAAATCATTTATAAAATACACAAATCTCCATCACTTGACTGCATTTACATACTGTCTTAGATTTTGCTGAATAATGGATCTCACTGGCAGAGCTAAAGACTTGGTGCGCAGACACTGAAGTGATGAGCACCACAGAAATACGTATAAAAGACTGTTCAAACAATAAGAAATCCTCTCCACTATGGAATTTTAAGCTATCAAGCTATCAAGCAAAATCAATCTTGGGTCTTCTGGCCAAAAAGAAAGAAATATATATAACACAGACAACACCACATTTTAGTTACATAAATTGTCCAAAACATGGAGAGTAGCTTGATAAAACATGTACAAGATCATTTGCTTACATGTATTCATAGACTTTTTTTAAAAGCAGGAGCTACGAGCAAACTGGAATGGGTGTTTCCAACAACCAAAGACAATTAATTGTAGGACTAAGTGATATCACCCTTTAATGGTAATACCAACACAAAAAAAGAAAGTTGGATGAATATTATTCCTTGAATTGATGAAAAGTATGGCTTTATGATATTTGAGGTTGTGAAACAAAATTAAATAAAATCTTTTATATATGTTTTTATAGTAGAGCTTTTGTTTAATTTAACCAGGTGCTGTTTTCAAACAATGTGCTGTAGTTTTATGTCCAACACAGTATCTGAAGCATACAGGGGACAGATCCTGAGCTAAACATTTTTTTTTTCTTGTTCTGAACCACATTCATTCTGAATGTGGTCGATTTTTTTTAAACTTTCATCTGAAGACAATTTTGAATTTTTCAAATGCAATAGAAATACCCTTAGAAAACACAATAAAAAAGTTGAAGCTCTCCCAAATTATTCTGCAAATATTTTTCAGAACAAATGAAAACAAAACCAGAAACAATCCCCCAAAATATACAGTATATAGTTAGAACTGCAGGATGCAATTGCACAGTCTAAAGAAACGGAGAAAATACTGCTATGCCTTGACAAGTTTTGGCACTGACATACGTTTCAGATCTCTCAGCTAAATATCAAAACTTTGAAAAGGGTGACATTTCTTAAGAAGTCAATCAAATATCCTGCACTAAACAGGCTGGTTACACATATTTGGGGAAAACAAAATAAAACAAATCAAAATAAATAAGAAGGTTCCAGGTGTTGGTTCAAGAGTAATTTTTGTTAATAAACATGAGTTTGCAATAGAAGCTTCTACAAGGACTTGCACAAAACCATGACTGATGGATATATTTGTAGGCCATTCAGTTAGCTCCACTCAAACACATTTTGAACAGATTATGTACTGCAGTACTTCGTAGACCATACATTAAACAAGAGACTTTGCTCTGAGCCACTGCTTCCCAAAATCCATGGGGAAAAGGAAGCAGAAAAAAACAAAACTCATAGAGTTCGACAGCTACCGAGGCAACACTTGCCATTTACAATATAAGCCCAAATATTTTTGCAACACAACTATATATTAATTTAATAAAATACACAATATAGCTCTTATACACTCAACAATTTGGCTCATATGCACTGAATCTGCAATAAATCAATAAAAATATGTCATTTGATGTAAACACACTGAATCTTCTTACATTTGCACATTTATATGATCGTGTGATTTGTGTGGATGTCTAAGACATTTTCACTTTCCTGAGCTATTTTAGTGTCCACAAATGAATTAAAAAGTGTTAAGAACATTAATTTATTTTGTGTATTAGCCTGAAAGGTAACTTTTTAAAAGATATTTTTCTCCTCTTTTTTCTTTTTAACTTACTACTAACTATTTATAGTTTTGTTGGACACTAAAATGCTAAATAGATACTATTTTTTTTCTTCTTCTTCAAGTGAATTAGCTGATGTGTGTGCAGGACAAGATGGACTATATCATTTTACATTTAATCTTAATATGATATGAAGTGTTTTACTGATGATCAGGATATGTCTGGTTGAAAAATGATCTGGAATGGTGTTGTTTTTGTTTTCTTGTTCTTTTTTTTTTTTTTTTTTTTTTTTTCTTTTTTCTTCTTTCCTCTCTTATTTGTGGCAGATAACTTTGTACATAAATGTTTACCACAAATGAATGTTAATGTTTGGTGTCGCTTGGACTACTACAAGAACTCTTTTAGGACTTTCTGTAGAAGCCTGTGGTGACTGCTGGCAATCCACCACAGAATAGAAATATTCAACCCTGTTTTTCTTGGGGTTTATACGTAAACAGTAAATTCAGCATCAGCTATTGAGGACAGTCTTAAAGTATCAGACGTATTTCCATTCCACCTTTCTCACACCTTTCTATCAGATTGTCAAAATGGCACCGTCTTTCCTTTATTCATATAGTTCTTTGTGTACTTGACTCTGTCCTAATGAAAGTTTGGTCAAAATGAAACCAGTGTTATCTGTCAAAAAGAAAGAGCAGTGAAAAGAACATACTTGTGGGCACTTCAGATGTTCACTAAAAGCCTTAAAGCAGCATTGGTCTTCCTTCATTCCTGTAAATCTGTTACAACCAGGGGATTTTATTTTTTTTTTTATTAGTTTTAATCAGCAGAAGAGGAATGTAACTGCCAGCCTGTCCTTATTTTCCCCCTCACTTTCTGATGGCCACAGGGTCATTTCCCCGACAGTCCTGCAAGAGCTTGTCTATTTCTCTCACAACTTCCTCGGCATCCACCGACTCCCTGCCTAGATCCCGGGCTGAACGGTCTAACTGTTCCAGAACAGAGTCCATCTCACTCGAGTCTCGGCTCACTCGGGAATGCACATCTGCAAAGGCCCTAGCCATCTGATCTGATGTAATGAAGGGAGCGTCTTTTGACTGTTTACTAGGCGATAGATACTGACTGTCAGTTGACAAGTACTGGCTGTTTGGTTCAGCCAAGGCTCCTGATTTCACTTCACAACCATCCAGAGGTCCTTTTGTTGAGGTGCAAGGCTCAATGCATGTCTTGGTTGGGCTGCTCGATGCTGAGGGAACCTCCTGAAGCAGAGGACTCAGGGCACGTTTGGCTTTTAAATAAGGTTTAACATTGGCAATGAGAATAGTGTGCTCTCTCTTGTCTTTCCCAAATGTACAAAAAGTCTTTTTCCCAGTGGGGTTCACAGTTTCGTAAGTCTCAGTCTCAACATTAGCTTCAACTGTGGGTACAAAGAGATTTGTGCGATAATCTGCATTCTCAGCCTGGCTGGCTGCAGGGAACTGTGGCATCCAACATCTGTCAGAATGACCAAGCACTCTGCATTCATCTGTGCAGTTAACACATTCTTCTTGTTCTGTAAAACAAAGGAGAAAGAGAAAAACTCTAGTTATAAGTGGATTTCTTTAATGAAGTATCTATGATCAACTTGTGATGGACTTACTTGACATCTGGTGTCTTAACTACGGAGAAAAAGAAAAGCTATAATTAAAATATTTCAGAAGGATGGCATAGATCTACTAGTTGAGACATTAGATTTATTTAATGCTATTCTCTATGTATTAAAGCATTCACACAGCCCAGTGGAAGTAAAAAGGGGTCATTAGAGAATCATTCTCAGAGGAACTGAGCTTCAGCTGTAAACTAATCTGCTGTAGAAATCTGTTAGGCTTTGTTCTGTAAAACTCATCCTAGAAAATAGTGAGCAGTACTTAAAGAACTCAAAAGGCATTATCAGGATTAATTTTTCAAATCAAATAACTGAGCAATGACTGCCTTTCTGGAAATACAAACACTTCACAAGAATCAGCAAGCTGGCTTTTCATTCTTGTCACCTCCATTTCTTTTGTAATTGTTATGTTGTATGACAGTCACGAAATAAAAAGGTTTTCTTAAAAAGCCTACTTTTCCTGCTGAGAACAGAGAACTAGAATTTTCCATCAGAATGAATTAAATATAAGCTTGTCAAAAAGCACATATTGCAATTTTATTAGACATGAGTATGGATCATGTAATCAGCTTTACCATTTTTGTTTTGGTGCAATAACTGAAAATGGATTTGCTCAATACATACGATTTGGAAGAATGACAAATTATGACATACTATTTGAAATGATAATGATTGTAGGATTTCTATATTCTTATTTCTTTCAAAGAATACAGTTAAATATATATATATATTAATTCACTACATTTCTAGAACATAAATTTTAATACTTCCCATGCTACAAAACTTTACAAACCTTAGTTTGACTGCATTTTTGAAGTAACAGAATATGTTTGAACCACTACTCACCATTTTGAAATTGTATACATGACCTTAACTCAATTTCAGGAAGCAGGAAAATTCCAGAAATGTGCTTTCAACAAGGATTTTCTGAAGGCTGGTTGTTTTTGTCTTGTTTACTTTTTTTCTCAGGAATGACAGCTATGATGCAAATTACCTTCACTTCTTTCTTGATTTTTTCAGTACTCTCCAATCAATCATGACCCCATAAATCCTTTTAGTATCTCTGGGCTTTGATCAGCCACACATTGCTATTAAGTATTTTGATCAACAGAGTGGACATACCGGTTTCAAATTTGATTTGAGGAATTCAGTACGTACAAAATGCCTTAAATTCCAGTTGGATTTTAAATTAAAAAATAAAATAAAATAAAATAAATAAAATAAAATAACATAATATAAAATAAAATAAAATAAAATAAAATAAAATAAAAAATATATATTTTTTAAAAACAACAAAACCTGTAAATATGTATGCGTATGTGTATATGTCAGAATTAATTTTACACATTTGCAAAGACATCCACAACAGGTCTTTACAAAAGCTGAACAAACTTCTTGACCTGATGATAGGACAAATTCTAACAGATCATAATCTTTCCATAATAGAAAATAACCCCCCTTTAATCTCATGATGTCTATAAATAACCACTAGATTCACGGACAGCTGCACTGCATAAACCTGACATAGAAGAATCATTACTTTTGTGAGTATCCAATAGTGTAAATAAATTTGTTCACATTTATAAAAAGACATGAATACAATATGGTTTAAATTTACTCAAAATTGTCTTACATCACAATGATCAGTTGAATTGGAGTGAGATAATTCATAGAATCATAGAATCATAGATTGGTTTGGGTCTTAAGGGAAAAATCTTGAAGGAAAGGACCTTTAAGATCACCTAGTTCCAAACGCCCTGCTATAGGCAAGGACACCACCCTCTAGAACAGGTTGCTCAAAGCCCCATCCAGCCTGGCCTTGAATGCTTAGAAGTGGGGGACATCCACTGCCAATCTGGGCAACCTGTTCCAGTGTCTCACCACCTTCACAGTAAATAATTTCTTCCTAATATCTAGTCTAATAAATGAAATAAATACAACAACAATAATGATAATAATAATAAATTTTAAAAAAGAAGAATCAATTCAATTTGGTTTTTACTTTTGTTTCATTGTGTTTTGTTTTGTTTTGCTTTGGTTTATTTTATGGGCTTGTCTGGTTTTAAATCTTACATATTTAGTTACTTATGATAAGAAAATGATATGTTACTCAAAATTTACTTAGATCTATGAATTTTTAATACAGTTCTTGAAAAAAAATATTCTAATCCTGTATAAATACTTCCTTCCTTCCTTCCTTAAATCTAAGAATGGTAAGACTTTCAGAAAAGAAATAACAAAAGCAAGAGAGAATGAAGTACAGTTAGAGAAGGATACAGAGTGATTTTTGAGGAAAAGAATATAACATGCATGCTTTAAAGATAAAATTTGTAGGGGATCTCCAAGGATAAGCAAACTTCATGCTGATTTTAGCGTACAATACAAGCTGAAGTAGTCATAATGAAAAGCAAGATGAAAATACATTCCCAGCCCTAACACTGTAATACACTGACAGAACTAGGAAAAGTTCTGATTTTGCTTCACTCGAATAAGATGAAATTGGCACTCATGCCTGCAGGCACAACAAATACAGGACAATTGCTTAATGAAAAATGTAGTTATAAATTTCATACATATAAAGGACAACTTAGACACCTCATTCCAACCATTAGTTCACCTCCACTAAGATTTTGGATCTTGTTTTCTAGAGCTTCCACAGCTTCAAACAGCTGCTGCATTTCAAACAAATCAAATCACAATATTCTAAATGGGATATATAGAGCAAAAATACTAGAAAAGAAGGTTTCAAATTTTCAAGTTTTAACAGGGAATGGGCAATAGATAATAAAAAAGATTGGTTAGGTTTCATTATGCATAGAAATCCAACAGAAATAAACTAAAAAAAAAAAAAAAAAAAAAAAAGTGCTCCAAGGCCAATGCAAACCAAGACCTTTCCATAATAATTCTGAAATTTTAGATTTTGCAGATATTTTCTCTAAATTGTTTCTGTTATTTTTTCTCTTTGTCTGAATACTAGAGAATGGATTTGTGGTAAATATAGCCTCTGGCATTAAAAGTGGGTCTAGATAGTAGTGAGAAGTAATAACTGCTTCATTTAAGATTTTGTCTAACCTATATCTAAAATTACTTTACTCTTATATGGAATGCACTACAATGCTGAGTAAAATTTTTGGTTCTTTTAAAGGATTCTCTAGGAAATTAATTTATTTTTGCTAACTAACTGTATTATTTTGCAAATTTATCTGCATTTTGCATCATTTTTTAATGTATGTAATTTCAATTCCTTTAAATAAAATAATAAAAAAAGATGATGCATTTGTTAGCAGCTGTTAAATGCTCTGTACTGCATAATCAATGAACAAAGATTTCTCTCTATCACTTTGCTCTCTTTTAAATTATTTCATGAAAGCAGAAATAATCTTTTTCCTTTATATCTCGCAGAAAACAAATAAATACATAAATAGAATGTAGTACTGTCTGTAAAACATAATAATCATATTTAATGCATTAAGAGTTCACAGATTTTACAGCCCTTTAGCCACTTAAAATTATCTTTCATAATTTTCCATTTTTTACATTCAACATATATACAAAGGCTGCTTCAAAAGTAGTATCTCCTATTTTATTACCTTGGCCCATGACATCAGAGGCTAATGTCAGTTGATGGTATGGCAATAGAGGTTGAATCTCCCTGCCACTATTTCATTGCATTTTGTTGCTGTGTGACAGATGGCAGCAGAGAGGCACTCTGACAAAATGATGTCTGACATGAATGTGCATATGAAACAAAGGGATGTTATTGAACTACATGCAGAAAAAGTTACTCCAATTGATATCATCAATGTTTGCTGAATGGTTACAGAGATCAAGGAGTATAAGCACAGTGAGATGGTAGGTGGTACATTCCAGCAGAGGTGACAGTGACACGGAAGACAAACCAGATTCCGGATGGTCGTACACATTTTTATGATCATGGCATTCAGTCTCTTGTTCATCACCGGTGAAAATGCATAGCTAATGGTAGTGTCTGCATTGAAAAATAGTGTTTTGCAGCTTCAGGTTTGCTCTTTCAGACAGTGTTATTGTATTCTTCATATCTGTTGTAGTTTCCACGGAAATAAATAGGAGGCATTACTTTCAAAGCAACCTATATACATATAAAATGCAGAGCTGAACAACTTATGTAATAAGAGATTCATTTTTCTACTCATTTTAAAACCTAGCTGTACTGTGCTAATAAAATTATTCCCCAAACTGAGACTGAAATGAGCAAACCTGAGATGGAAGATGGAGATCAGAGAAGTTCTCAGCCACTGGAAATGCATTAACTACACTAGGTACTTAGTAGTGTGCCAAAAACTATGCTTTGAGGTTTTCAAAACTGATTTGTTTGTCACTGAGTTACGTTCTATGATTTGAATTTATTACTTCATGTGTGCACACATACGCTGAATATGAGGATAACTTACAGTATTTGCAGTATTCATTGGCATCAGTAAAAATACAAATTTCACTGGCAATCTCTTTAAGTAGAAGAGGTATGTAACATATAGCATATATATCATGTATATTGCATGTCACATCTTCTTTTCCCTTCTCGCTTCCTGCATTTGCTACAGCAGGATTACATTCACACTCATAGTATTGACTAACTTTCCATTTCCGATCCTCGGGCACCTTAGCAGTGAGAGAATTAAATATGAAGCCAAAAAAAGAAGGCAGTTTTGTGAAGAAAAATATCCTGATTGACCTTGAAGTAAAAACCACCTATCCATGGCAGGTTCACGAGCTTCAGTATTCTAGTTTTGAAAATCTGTATCTTTCACTTCACTTTTTTTGCATCACGCTGTGGGAAATGGATTTCAAATATTGATTATCATATATTATAAGCCACTCATCTCACTATTAGCTTGTAATTTTGCCTGCTACATATAACAGACAGTGAGAAAAATAGAGCAGGCCCACTTAGTACTAGCAGTAGAAACTACAAATATGAAATGAACTATCACCACCAAAGGCCAAATTAGCGTTTGTGACAGAACTGAATAAATTTAAAGGCACATATATAAATATATATACATAAAATAGGTAAAACATTGCACTGTCCATCAAGATGCGCTGGTAGAGCAATATGCAACATTGGTCTTTATTTCTATGATTGTCTTCCTCGAGTTGAAAATAAACCTTTAACAGTGCAAGAGTGTACAATAAACAGAAGCAACCTAGAGGTTTTCCAAATTCTCTGGAGCTCTAAGGGTAAACAGTCAGAAGTGCTTCATGCACTTCAGGGAGAACACACACAAAAATAGAGCTGCTAAATTATCTGCCATCAAAAGAAAGAAGAAAGAAGCTGTCTGGAAACAATAGTTACCTAGATAGGAAACTCACTGTACTGAAATTTAAGATGGTTTAGGAAAAAAAATATGTTGGAAAAATATAAACTGCAATGCAAGGTATGCATTTTAGTGTAACCTATGACACATGTTACGTATTTTATTCTGCCTTAATAGAGAAGTTAGTAATTAACGTCTGCATTCTGTATCAAGTTTGTTGCAAAAGATGATCTTGTTTAATTTTCTATTCTTTCCTCATAAATACTATGAATACCTTTAAATACAGGTACTGATTTCACTGTAAACATATTTTACTAATTAATTGATTAATGCTTTGGATATTTGGCTTCCTTCAATGGCTAAAACTGAGATATTGCAATTGAATTATTAATCACATAAAATTAGCATAATGATAACAGAGAAATTTGTAATTTTTTATCTTAAGAAAAGCAAAAAACACAACAGTGACTTACTGTAGCCAAACTGACTTCGTAAATTAATAGCTTTCCAATTAAGTTGGGCCCTAATTATTTTAATTGCACACACATACATGAAGCTGCAAAGCAAACAAAAAGTAAGCAATCCCTGTACATAAAACCTCAGCATATAAAAACTTCCAAGAAATATACCTCGTAAGATGAAGAAAACTGTAGTCTGTATAAAAGTACACCATGTAATGCAATGAGGAATGTGAAAGTCTGAGCATAACGAAAATCAGATTTAAAATATATGTTTGTATGTATGTGTATGTTACCTTCACAAAAGCCTGGACATACACAAGCATATATATATAAAATCATTTTTCTCCCTAAACCTGTAAATGCTTTTATCAAATTGTGTTTGAAGTGAAGCAAAGCAGACACAATTTGGGTCATAATTTATAAGATTTGACTTGGTAAATTGTCATTCATGTCCATTCTTTTCCAAGAGTTTGTTACTCACAAAATGTAAAACAAAAGTGTTCCTCTTTACAAACATATGCCCATTAGTGAAGATTAATTTAGTATTTGTATAAATTAATACATAATTAATAGTGAATATTTTGTTATATTTGATTGACCTAGGCAATGCAAATTACTCCTCCAGACGTCCTGCTCATTTACTCCTTACCTCTCTTACAACAGGTGACACTTAGTTTTTACTATCACGTTAATAACTCCTTCTAATAGATGTGATTTTTTTCCTCTTCTTTTCTGTAAATACGGAAGCTAAAAAATAATCAATAATTTTCAGGGATGGTTCACTGGAATGCCTCAATGATAACAGCTCCAAATGAAAAATACACTAGAGGACTGATCAACAAAAGTGTATATTCTTTCTGAAGCTTGTAGTTGGACACTGCTATCCACCTTCACTGTTGAAATACTCTATTATTCATTGCATTACACAGGGGGCAGTGATTCACGTATTTACTGACCCTTGCTTTGCTTTACAAAGAAAGAGACTAATATTTGAATGCATATATACAGTTCACACTGACTTTCTATCATTTTACCCTTGATTTTGTGCATTTGTGTTCATTGTTAAAAGTATTTCCACTAAGAATTGACTCAGTAATGAAACAAGGTATATGTTCTGTAGCGCATATTTCTCTGATCTGACCACAAACATGTTATGAAGGGCTTGGAAAGGAACAGTATTTCCTTTAGGTTAGTAGAATGAAGTGTTTTGTGTATTTTAATAACTTAAAATAGACATGACCTGTATCTTCTGTACATATGTATAAACAGATGAACAATAAACAGCTCATGTCCAAAGGAGAATATAAATAACTATCCCTTTCAAAACTCCAATTCCTGTAATACACCTGAAAAGCTTTGGATTTGAGACAGGCAATTGCCTTTACTGAATAACTGTAAGGATGGTATGTAGATATTTATTAGAAGAGGAAAATAATGGGCTTCTTTGACACGTCCTAAGGACTATGGCTATATGATACTTCTGACAAGAACAATCAGCTAAAGTGCTTCTTCTGTGGTTGTATTCCTGTTTAATTACAATTGATTTTGACATAAATGAGCAGAGGTAAACAAATACTTCTATGCACATGTTTGCTGTTATTAAACAGAGCTGTCTCCATTCTCAGTATTTATATTGGCTTGTCTGTTTAAAGGCTCCTTTCTGTTAGGTAAAGCAATTATGTAGTTCAGATTAGCAGTATGACTGGCAGTAAAATAAGAACAGAACGCCACTTTTTTAAACCTCTTAGATTTTGTGGTCTTTTTCTGATATTAAAGCAAAGCATTTGAGGCCTATAATCCTTACAAAGTTTTCCCTTTTTTTTGTTTTTGTTTTGTTTTGGTTTTGTTTTTGTTTTCTTGGTTGCTTACTTATCTTTTGGACAGAGGATAAATAGAATATATTTCTAATGTTGACGTGGCATAAGGCATTTTAATGTAAAAAGAAGCTGGTGAGCTTATGGATTTAATTCTAGTTCAGCTGTCCAAGACCATAAATATTGGAGAAATATTGCAGTAATACAATAAGCACTACAGAACATTTAATTATTATTATTAATTTTTTTTACATAAACATGCTTTGAATTCATATTTACAACGTAATTTAATTGCAATCATATATTTCTAGTTAAAGACAGCATAACAGCAAGAAAACATTTTCATTACCTGAAAATTTTCCATCCTCACAACGGGCTGGTCCACAGATCCCAACAATGGGTCTTTGGCCTCTGCCTTGCTGTTCTGGAGGCAAATCAGACCTGTGAGTCACAGACAGGAATAGGCTCTGCTTCCAAAATTCCCAACATTGTCAGAACTTCCAAGGCACAAAAAACAGTTTCTATCATGTTCTGGGCATAACCCATGCCCTTTGACATTTATCCATACGCTTCTCAAATGTATGTTCTCAATGTATAAACACAGCCCTTTCATAGCAGACAGTGGACTGAGAACATACTCCAGCCCCACACACTGAAAAGGCAAAGGACATCCCAACAACCCCCCACAACCTTAATGGGAGCTGAGCTGCCCTAGAAACTGTTGCTTATGTTCTATTGCAGCAACTTGACAAAATCACTCAGAAGAAATGAAGGATGCTTCTGGAGGCTTCATTATCTGCTTTCCTATCTAGCTGGGGCAGTTGTGAGGAAGAGTGCCTCTCCGAGTAGTAATTTCTTCCTACTGAAGAAGAAAGAGGAGAGGCTAAGAATGGACACCCAGTTTTGGTTTCTAAAGTTCACCTGTAAGTCAGACTGGTACCTTCCATAATTTGCATCAAAAGTACCACATGGCAGTCATGAAAAGATATTTTGGCTTCTTCCCCATCCTGCTGTAAAAGCCCTTCCTAGTCCAGCACTGCAGGCAGGAATGTACATGGACTCTCTATGCCAACTCTGCACTTAGCAGTCTACCAGGCAACTTTAGTGACTTGACAAGTTCATGGTTTTAAACAGTAAATCTTACAGAGCCCAAAAGCCACTTCCTGGAAAAGAAAGGTGACGAAACTGCAGTGATTAGCAGGAGGAAGTAGGCTTGAGGATCTGTTAGAAGAAATATCTTTATATAACATATTTTCTTTCTCTCGATCAAGGCAGTTCCACAGCTTTTACTGTGAGATTATTTCTGTACTAACACTCCAATATCAATAATTTCCGTATCTAATTTGTAACATTTAGTAAAAGCTAACACTGTGTATTGTGTTGTGATGTTTAAGTATCCAGTAATTAAGCAGCCCCATATTGCTGCATCCTATACAAATAATGATAGATTGTACATCCAGAGACAAGGTAACAAGTAATTATAACAGACAAAAGCAATGTATGGGAAAGAAAGAAAAAACTTAATGAAAATATAACCATGCTGTTGACATTTCCTGAAAATTTTGATGTAAAAGCTTCATAAGGTATCCTCTTTTGTCACACTGTCAAGCCACCAATGATTAGCTATATATTATACTGGTGAGCCTTCCTCACCAGTTGCCAATTATCTCAGCATACAAATCTTTAATTACAAAGCACTAAGCTTTTTGCTTTGTAAGCTTGTTTCAAATTTGGATGTGACAACTTGTTTACAGACACTGACTGATGAGGGTGCAACTGAGGAGAAAAACAGGCTTCCAGACAAATCTGTTTCTGTATGTTTCGGTGGCTCTACATTCTGAATATAGGTAAATTCTCTTGAACTGAAGAACATAAGGTTCTGTATAGGAGTTCAATTTTATCCAATAATGGATCAACACATGAAAGCTTTTCAAATGCAGTTCTCCTTTGCAGAATCTCTCTCTCACACACAGAAAAGATATTTCTAAAGGTTATACTCATGCTGAATCACTCAAAATCTGGCTACTTTGGTGAAAAAAGGAATACAGCTTCCCCCATGTACCTACCAGCATGCCTGGATTTACAGTTAAAATCTCTTTTACCAGGCATAATGTGACAATGTCTGTTTTATACTGATAGATGGAAAAGCCCACTGGGTAACATTCTTTGCTTCAAAAGGCTGATATAAATGTCTTACACTTTGGACTTCATGGGAGGCGTAATGCATCTGATCAAGCAGGAGGAAGAACGATTTTGGTCACAGGACTAAAAAACAACTTAAGAGGTTCAGGCATCTTAAGGAACTCTTGTTTGGACACAGAGACACAGACATATCTTCCCAGAAAAAGAAAATAAATAATTTAACAGTTTCATATGGAGTCTCCCTGTGCCATGATAAGTAGCATATTCATTATTGTTTGATTAGATGGTGCCCTAGACTATTGTTTAGCAGATTGCTGGTGTTATGTTTTATCACTACCTTCAAAAGAGATCTTAGAATGGGAATACCCTTGTGCCAGTTTATGGAGCACCCGCACTCTTTTAGGAATTCGAGTTTCATAATGCTTTCCTACTTAGCTTTCTCCCTGCATGGTGCTTTAATTAGATCAATCAGAAGAAATAATAAGGGATGCCTTTTTAAATTTGACTCTCTAAATATAAATATTTTGGTAAGGAAAATTGTACATGTAAATAGATTGAATAAAACATTTTCAAGTTCTCCATGAACTGTAAATGAATCTCCAAAAGGTACTAAAGATGATTTCAGGGTATGCATGTCTTCATTTCCCCAGATATTTCATCAAAACCCCTATGTTCAAGATCTCTTTCATCTATTTCAAGGATCAAGGAGACTATATATATTAGCAACACTGAAACAGAAAATCTCTCCTGGCAGTTATTTTATTTGCAGCATCTGAGCTGCTCAATTGAGAGTCATAATTTTACTTGTCGTCTTTGCATTTGTTACAGCTTCGTTTATTATACTGATGTCAGAGGACTGTGACATGACCAAACATATCTTTAAGAAAAATGGATAATTTAGGATCTATTTTCTAAGATGTTGACATCATGTATTCATTGTTTTCACTAATATCTTCAATTTTTAAGACTGCTAAACAGTAGAAGTAATTTTTCTGGTCTCTGGAAATCTTTCATTGGTGTCAAATTCCTATAAGAAATGTGTTTCAGTTCTGGAAGTAGACTTAAAAGCTAATTACAAAAACCACCACCAAGTCAGATGTAGCCAAGGTAATTGCTCTTACAGGTGCCCTCAGATAACTTGTACAAAAACCCTTTGAAGGAAACTCAGCAGTGAGGTAATAGATAAGTTAAACATTTTCTGCCAAAGTGAGTAGAAGCTGTAGCTGCTACCTTTAAAGCTGCTGAAGGATTCAGAATATGTCAGTCAGTGTCTATGTTATATATCTTTAAGAAAATCGTTACTGTGCAGAGATGATGGGGATGCTATACCCTTAGAAATAGGACAGACATGCTATAAAATGCTGCAAAATACGATTCAGTTTTGAGTGTTTTTAATATTTTTCCATTTATTGGAAGCCAACATTGTAATATTTACATCATTTACAGTTTCATGCATACCTTCCACCATGATTTCATTTAAATGGGTGCAACTCCTCTCAACTTTTTTTGTTCTCTTGGATAGAAAACACAAGAGTCAATTCCAGATTTTTTTAGTTTTCATTTTCCATTCACAGCTAATGAAAAGGGGAGAAAACTGGATCTCATGATTGCCTTAACTTCCAGGAAGACAAAAAAAATGTTATGAGAAGCACTGTGTTTGAAATTAAGGCTCAGTGGCTCAGTCTGACCTTCCATAAATTCTGTAAGGAACTAACATATAAAATAATTGTCTTACAGGAAGCAAGAAAACAAGCTTTTTTTTTCTTTTTCTTCAGCTCATCTGTTACAACACACACATAGTACATTTTCTTCTCAGGTATCTAAGACACACACAGTTTAGCAGAGCGCTAAACTTATTTGTAAGCTCTCAAGTGACTTCCCAGTTGCAGCTGAAGATGGATACAAGGCAGCTAATTTGCTGCCACCAAGGGAAAATGTTCTAACATAAAAACATTCCCTCCCATAGCTTCAAAACTGTTGAGCACCTAGGGAGCCTGACTATTTGTAGAGTTGATACTATGCATATGCTTCCTCCGTAACTGTTACATGAATACATCTGGCATCTGTCTCTGTGTTAAACAGACTTAATTGTCCTTAGTATTAGTATGTAAAAATCCTCTAACCTATGTGATTAATGCAAAGGAAATAAATAATAGGACATTTATAGGTTGTTTTTTGTTTGTTTGTTTGTTTGTTTTGTTTTGTTTTTTTTTGTTTTTCTTAGAGCTATTTTTGCATTATTGGCAAGGTCTTCTCTCTCTTTTTTTTTTTTTTTTTTTTAAACTTTCTTGGTTGTACCTCCATGTTCTTTTATCCATATTAGACTTCAGACCTCTCAGGTATTTGCCAGACATAGTTGGACCTATTCTGAAGATATGTCATAATTTCTTTAGGTGATGTTAGGGTGACTCTACATTCTAATAAATTATTCTGCTCACTGTTGCCAGTGAAGTCAAACTCAGGCAAAGCACTTGATTTCTGATTTCAATATATTTTGAAGAGATCAAAGAGCATGGAAAATCCTGTTCTTTGGTTAGTCAGACCATGCAGAACAGTAATACTCTAAAAGATGCAGGTAGTTGCATAGAATGAACAGTAAACTGAAGACTTTTGGAAGTTATTTTAGCCTGTCAATGTTCATCTCAAACTCTCCAGCAAAGTAATACAAATAAACACAAACAATAATCAGTATTGATAATTTGACATCTGCCATCATCCATGGTAACAAAGTTAAATATGCTTAACATGCATCTTTTACAAGAAGTTGTTTCTACAAGAAAGACTATAAAGCATACGCTTTCCTAAAGCAAATATAACTGCCTAAGTCTGTTTGGGATACTCCTTAAAGTTACAAAATTGAACTATGCAGTCATCAAATGACCTGGCTGAATCTGCAGGTCCTATCAGGTACATTAAATCGTATTGAGTATGAAGGCAAACTATAATTTTATTAGCTCTCTTCTTTAAACTTCACTAGCATGCAACAAGGAGACAAATGAGATCTTTCATCTAATTTAAGAAATTCTGGGAGAGTTCTCATCGGTCAAAGGATTAAAAAAATGTGCACAGAAAGTGGACTGAGGTGCTGAATATCATTTTATTATCTGATGCTTAATAGCAGCTATAAGAAAATGAATAATCTTTTAGAAGCAGAGACAACCATATAATCTAATTTCCAGCAATTAAAATTAGCTAGAATTGTTATGATGAATTTAGAGACAATGGAGAACAGTGGATTCAAAGAGTTACTTTGCACTTGGTAATACATGCCAGGTAAAATAC